GCTGGTGGGTTTGAACTGTATACAGTAGAGTGGCTGGTGGGTTTGAACTGTATACAGTAGTATACATTAGTATACAGTATATACATACAGTAGTAATTTATATATTAATATATAATAATATATACCATATATAATATTATATATATATATATATTAGTATATATAGAGAGTTTGGGGTTGGTTTCCTTTGCTTTGTTTAATGGGTAAGGATTCCAGGAGCATATGCATCAGCCTTGGGGCTTAATTTCCTTGCCAACTCTTTCCAGAAATCCACATTTATCTTTTCTTATCATAGTTCTATATCTTAGAACTACAGCCCCTTCTGTTGAATAAACTGATTAAGGAATAGAATATCCATCTAAAAAGTAACTTAATATAGTTCAACCCATCATGATTCAAGAGAGAAGACCGATAATCAGAGCAGAGGATTTGTCACTGACCACAAGGGGCTATGAGGCGGAGCTGGGCCTGAGCTCAAGTCTCCTGGCTCTCTCCACTGCACTGCGTAACATCTCTCTCTTTGGAAAGCCAGAGAGCCCACATGGAAGCAACCTAACCCCTCCCTCCTTTCAGATGGAAAACATGTCATCAAGCTCTTTTTCAACTGGCTTTTTTTTTGGATTGATTTCTGTTGATTATAAAAGCCAGATGTTCCTAATAAAGCTAAGTTTTTCAGATGCCTTTGAGCATCTGACTAAATACACAAAGTTATTTTAACAGAAAGCAGCATGTTAGGCTGAATTTACTTCAGAACATGAGTATTGCATTGAGTGAGTGCCTGCTGTAGGCAAGCACAGTCCTAACTCTTTGTTACTGTCATTTCTCCCCAAAACCCTGCTAAGATTGCATCTTATCCCCATTTTACAGATGAGGAAACAAAGCCTTGAGAGCATAAGTCATTTTACCATGGTCACTCAGCTAATAATCATGGTATAGGAATGTGAAACCCAAAACTATCCTGTTTCAAAGGCCAGGTTCTTTCCCATGAACCACTGCCTGCCCGCTAATCCTGTTGTGCCGTTAGGGATTCTCCTCATCCATGGCTTCTCTGACTCATGTGTTTCTTTTCAGCTAATGGAGAAACATCCTCTTTTCACAATGACAATGCTGCCTTCCTTACCAAGTGACCAGTGAAGTTGCTTGAGGAGCTTCACCTGGAACCTCAGTCCTTGCCTGATTCCTTTGTTGATTCAGCTTGAGCTTAAAAAAAAAAAAAAAAAAACTTCCTGGAAGTGCAGAGGGTCCTTCTGCCTTAATTGAAATAGCCTGTAGTTTGAGCAACCTCTCATCTCTCCCCAAATAAATACTTTGCATGCAGCTTCCAGTCTGCCCACCTTGTTCAAGTCATTACTGAATCTAGATGAGTCTTGCTTTCCCTAGCTGGCCTTTGCTGGAGAAGCCATCTTTAGAGGTTTCTAGAAGAGGCCTTGAGTGTGATGATCTGCCTCACCATCCCAGGGTCAGCTGTTCTTGGTTTATGGACATAAAAATGTGCTGCTTGGGCAAGAGTTATGGTGGTGGCATTTTTCCACAGTTTGGGGCAAAAACAACACTCTTGTCAGAAAGTAGATTAGCCTGGTGCTTTGCTGCATGCGCCATAATGACAGGCATCCCAGAGCGTTCAGACCTCCTCAATGTACTCTGCATGCATGTTTATGTGCACACATCCACCCACACACACACACACACATCTCACTTGCTATTGGCAAAATACTTCCCAATCAGTTTAAAGGAGACTTCAGTTCAAGCCCATGGTGGATGAATTAGGTTGTGGTTGCTCACTTCACTGTGTAGCCTCAAAATTTTCTTCCAGGGTCCTTCCCGCAGCCCTCTCAAGTTCTGGGCCAGCCAAATATAGTTCGTGCATCTGCCACCTCCCCTGCTTTTTGATTAAAACTGAAACAACCACCTGTGTCCTACCATAGGCTCTCAGTGCCTCCAAACCTAGAAGGGAGAAAAAAAAGAAAGAAAAAGGCCCAGCATAAATGTCTTAATTCTTCTCTCCAGCTTCTATCTGTCCACCTGTCACACAGTAGGACAGACCAAAATATCCATGAAGAGTCTTTGTCCTCATGAGATGCTAATCCAGACAAGGAGGTGGTGTGTGCAATAACTGCACATTCAAGGACCTGCACACCTGGGTCTCCAAATAGCCAAGTCTGACACAAACAAAAGAAACTTTGTTTACCTCTAAGAAAGCTTAAAAGAGAAGCAAGGCAAGAAATGGGGTCTTTTGGTTGAAATTGCTTCAAATGGTTTTCCTTTGTTGGCCTGCAGGATCAAAGAAATTATATTACTAAAACACATGGACAGAGCAGCTATTTACAATTTGCATGACACCTTTACATAATTCAGTTTGTTGTCTGAGGCATGGAAATAGGCAAGACGCTACCACATGCTGCGTTTCAGCACAGGCACCACTCTCCTCCATGGCGGCACACTATGGGGCAGCCCATAATTGAACCACCAGGGGACAAGTGCATCATCACACAGAGTGTGCGGCTGGCCTGGCTACGTTGGATGCACCATACACTGAGATTTGCTTTTTCTTTCTTTCTCATTACCATTGATTTTTCACCCTCCAGCCAACACTTAAATCCCTAACTGAAACACAGCTGGCAGCTTGAAAGGTGAGTGTAGCCAAAAGGTCGGCCATCTGAAGGGTGTTCTTCTGTGCCTGAATGGTAATGAACAGAGGCAGATTACCCGGTAAGCAAGGTAAGCACAGGCTTACTTGAATGTGAAACTGTTCACTAAAGACTAGTAAGTTAGTACAGGTAAGTCCATGCTTACCTTGCTTACTGGCTACTCCATCCTTGTCAGGGGTTGTAAATTTGAAAAGAGGCTTTGATTCTGTAGGAAGGTGCTGTGTGGGATTGGGAGAGAGACAGATGCTAGCTATACCCAGAAGCAGAATCTTTGATGTGGTGAAAGAAATAAATAAATACAGATTAGTAAGTAACACAAGTAATCCCATGCTTACCTTACTTACTAAGTAATCTGACACTCACAGTGCATTTCCCAGAACCTGGAAGCCATTTCAGCCATTGGAAGGGGGAGGATGGGTTTGCACATGCTACCGAGTTTCCACAGACAGCAGGCTGTGCAAGGCTGCTCAACCTCCGTCTCCCCTGTGCTATAATCTCAAAGAGCAGCTGCCGTAAATCATTAAGTTCATCATCCTTTGGCAGGGGGAGCCATAGGAGACTGGTGCTTTCCATTCTCAGCATAGTCTCTTGCTGTTTCTAATGAGGCTTC